GACAGACACCTAGTTGACAGCATTCTTCAATCCCTCCAGGAAGGAGAGGCCTGCACATGAATTTATCCCATCCACCTGGATTCTGGGGTGAGGAGGGAAAAAAATCCCTGACAAGGAGAAACTGGGTCTCTTTATGCTGTCTGGACACTGATGGGGCAAGGATTCCTAAATGTAAGCAAGAGATCCCTATGCTGCTTGCCCTAAAGGACACACAGAGCTGCTTGTTATAGAAGCTTATGTTACCTTTTTAAATCTAAGACTACCTTATTTGTGTGTGTGTTTCCTGTTTTTACTTTGTAAATAACTCTCATTTTTTTTCTTAGTTACTAAATCTTTAGTTAGTTTATTACAGGATTGTCTACAAGCGTTGTCTTTGGTTTGAGATCTGAGTACAAATGACCTTGGGTAAGTGACTGATTCTTTGGGATTGGGAGTGACCTGATATTGTAGTGATTTTTTATGTAAAGTGACCATCTATCACATATAGGGTGACCAGATGTCCTGATTTTATAGGGACAGTCCTGATATTTGGAGCTTTTTCTTATATAGGTTCCTATTACCCTCCACCCCATCCTGATTTTTCACACTTGCTATCTGGTCACCCTAATCACATAGTTTATCTTGCCTAAGTGTCAAGATAGACTGGAATGCCCAAGTGAACTGGCTGTGACTCTGTGGTAAGACTGTTTTATGCTTTAGGACTTCACACTTGTTACTGGGTTGGTGAAATCTTAATTATAGAACATACCACACGTTTGGAGTCTCTGCTCTGCTTTTTGACAGTCTCCCCTGTGACTGGCACTCATGGTCGTTGAGCCACTCCAGACAGCGTGACAATACGTTTGAAGAAGAACAACAAGATTGTTCCCTAGATGTTAGTCTATTACATGTGGAGGTGTGAGATCAAAATTAGATTAGATCAAAAGTGAAGTGAGTCTGTTGGTCTCGTTCTCTTCCTCAATAGACATTTTTATACATATCACAAAACAACTGGACAGCCTAAAAATCACTTCAGCATATTTAAGTATTGAGAACCAATACAGACATCTTAACTGTAATAAGAGGTTAATTTGCAGCTCAGGCCTGAGATAATCATGAACACCTGGCCACACAGTTGTTGGTTCTCTCCAGAGCTGCCAATTTCACAAACACTTAAAATGCTGCTTTGGTCATACAAATGATTATCTAGAAAATCAAAATGTCATTCTCTTACTCATCAGAGAATGTCATTTCCCTGGGTGTTGTACTCTACCAACCACACCAGGTTTTTAGTGCTTTTTGGATTGCAGACATCATACAACTGAGAATGAAACAGCTGGATTATTTCTGCTTAACGCATCAGCAAAATTTGAAAGCTAAATTCTGATTACAGAGTATTACTGAAAATGATGTAAGAAGCAGAAAAGCTTGAATTTCAGATCCCAGGTGGTGCTTGTAGAAGTTAGCGAAAGTATCTTTTGAGCAATAAACTGAGCAAACTAAATATCACTTATTTGAGGGGTCATTAATATGCCATCTCTACAGTCACTCTTCTGACAACAAAAGCCACTTGAAAAATGCCCCAAAAGTCTAAAAGTACAAAGAAATGATTTTCTATAGTTATGTTTTTAAAATCTACAATATTTTCATCTGTTTTCTTTGCTCTTTTTAAATATAGCTACATTTCAGGTTTTATTCACCTATTCATTTTAATTGTTTACACTTTATTTCTATTCTTTTAGCCCATGAGCACACTGTTGCAATTTATATAGGAATGTAGTTAATAAACATAAAAGATTTTATTTTGAACACTAGCTTTTGAAATATTAATTATTAACCTGCTGGCTAATTCTGTTCCTTTTTATATTGTATAATTTTAAAAGTTTTGTTTCTCATAATTAATATGTATCTCAAATTATTTATTAATAATATTTCATCTCCAGCTTGCCATTTCTTTACTTCCTAGTGAAGAATTTTTTTTCATTTTTTGTTTCTTTTACTTTACCTAATATTTTGTTCTAATTCTTGAAAAAGTTTTGGGCCTAGTTTTGCTATTCTCTCTCAAGGTCTGTCAGAGTCCCCAGTTCGTAGCCATTTCAGCACTGAAGAAGATGCATTTTGAATAGCTGAAGTGAGGACCTCAGTTTGATATTTCATAAGAAGATGCTACTTACTGCAGCACTGTCAATCTTCATTCCATGTTTCAACATTATCAACACTTCCACAGAGAGAAAAATGCCGCCAAGTGAATCACTAATGCCATTTATTTCAATATCAAAGTAGTTCTATGGTCCAATAACTGATCCAGATTTAAGAAGTTCAGTCGATTCAGATTGTCAAGAGAAGAGACATGATCATAATCTATAGGTGCTTATTTGGGGACAAGGTATCTGGTGCTAGAAGGTTCTTTGATTAAAAACATGTGCCTTATTTCCAGTTTGAATTTGCCTGGTTTCTACTTCCAGTGATTGGATCTAACATACAAAGGCATAGCAAGATAGCAAGATCCAATCACTGGAAGTGGACACCAGGCAAATTCAAACTGGAAATAAGACACATGTTTTTAATAATAAGGACAATTAACCACTGGAACAATTTACCACGGTATCTGATGGCTTCTCCATCACTCAAAGTCTTTAATTCAAGACTGAGATCTTCCTAAAAGTTATGCTCTGATTCAACCACAAGTTATATCACTCAGTGCAAGAACTACTGGGTGAAATTCTATGGCCTGTGTTACGTCAGAGGTCAAACTAGATACACATAATATCCTTTTTGGACTTAAAATCTATGAATTCTATGTCCTGTGGCCACAGAAGTTTAGTAACAAGTGTTTTAGCATCCCAATAACTACAGCTGCTATAAGCCAGCACCACTATTATAATCAATACAGAACAGATGTTATAGTGAGATTGGGTTTCTCTGTTTTTATAAGAACAGGTGGTAATATTCCTCTTGCAAGTCTCACTGTGATGGCCATAAACATTCCAACACTGAGAAGCTCTCACTTCCATCAATGATTCATGAATAGTGTTGCATCTATCACTATTCATTACAAATCTTTTTTAAACTCTTCCAGTCCAGAATGTCTTAATGATGTATCGGTGACCACATCAGTCCCATCACTGAGGTACGTTTGTTGGCCTCCTTAGTTTATATTGATGCCAGATCCATATAGAACCCATATCTGCAGAATATCTTATACCTTTTTCACCTTCCCAAGACATGTCATGGGGACAGAAAGTTCTGATCAAAATACCTCAAAATTTCCAACAAACCATTCTAAATGCAATTACAGCAAAGTTAACCATTGATTGTCATCTTGCCTAACATTTTGACCTTTATTTCACATTTTGATTCAAACCGTCCAGCTAACTGAACAGTTAATTCTCCCTGCCACATCCTTTTCTAGATGTCCATTTCACAGCACAATACCTGAGCAGAAACTTATGAATAATTTCCCTAAGGACCATTTACAGGTATCTGATGCTATGAATATGCCACCTATCCTTAACTGACCTCCCTTCAAGTATTCCCTTCCAGTTAGATTTACAATAAAGCCAAACCAGGGGATTCAGATGAAACACTCTCTTTTTGCTCAGATGTTTGACCTTCTGAGATATAAACATCTCAGATGGGAAGAAACAAATAATAACATAGCATAATGACCAATTCATTATCATTAACAAAAACATTATCGTGGAATTCTCTTGTTCCTAAAGGAAATACAATGTTTATAAGTATGTCCTTTGTCAAAAATATATATTCTTTTAAGAAAGAAATTGGTCTCAAAGTCTGTAGAAAAGCTCAGAAAAATAGCTCTTTTCTAGGTCTTTAGGCAATTAGCTCAATACCAACCACCAGTATTCAACTGTAAAGTTCCTCAGTTAGGAAATCAGTTTTAAAAGAAGCCTCATAAATGATTTGTGGCCATCTAAATTTTGTTTGTTTGTTTACTGGTTTTCTGGAATTTGGGGGAAGGGCACTATTGCTTACCATAAGTGATGTAGAGATTAATATTATATTCAGTTTGAATGAAACTAAGTATAGAAACATTTAAAATATGCAAGATTATTTGTGCATATTAAATTAATGCAAAGAGCTAAACATCAGCAGTAAAACGGCAACAGTTGCATAACATTGTCAGAGTAATGAGAACTGTGCTAAATATTAATAAATATGTGACCTTTTATCTTATTTAAAAATCATGTTATTTTAAAAATGAATAAACACACATTGGTTCCATCTTTACATAAAGCTGTAGTGTCACTTGAAAGAATACATTGAATGATTTTTATATTGATAAAGAAGACTACAACTTTGCCAGGCCATTGTAAAAAATATCAAGTGCTATACCAATTTGTTTTGTCATTATTTTAGAATACTACAGATCATGACAATGGTCTTTTAAACAAGAGCCTACAGTGAAACAAGGATTTGTAAGTGTATTCCTTTATATATAAAGACATTTTAAATTCCTAAAAGGCAAATATAATTAAAATGAAAAAAGCCCTACAAGTAAAAGATTGCATTTAAGATTGTTATACACTGTAATGAGACAAAATTCCATATTTAAAGTTGTAAAGATTTGATTAATGTTTTATTATCCCTATCATTAATAACTCTAACTGCAACTTCACAGGAAAAATTTAAAAAAATACCAGGCACTACTTGAAATAGCTGGAATAAAAATGCCATCTACAACTTCATCTTTCAATTTCTGTTCTATTAATTATTTATTGGAAACTAAAAAGCCTCGTTTCAGAGTGGTAGCCGTGTTAGTCTGTATCAGCAAAAACAATGAGGAGTCCTTGTGGCACCTTAGCACTGGTCTACACTAGGACTTTAGGTCGAATTTAGCAGCGTTAAATCAATGTAAACCTGCACCCGTCCACACAATGAAGCCCTTTATTTCGACTTAAAGGGCTCTTAAAATCGATTTCCTTACTCCACCCCTGACAAGTGGATTAGCGCTTAAATCGATGTTGCCGGCTCGAATTTGGGGTACTGTGGACACAATTCGATGGTATTGGCCTCCGGGAGCTATCCCAGAGTGCTCCATTGTGACCGCTCTGGACAGCACTCTCAATTCAGATGCACTGGCCAGGTAGACAGGAAAAGAACCGCGAACTTTTGAATCTCATTTCCTGTTTGGCCAGCGTGGCAAGCTGCAGGTGACCATGCAGAGCTCATCAGCACAGGTGACCATGATGGAGTCCCAGAATCGCAAAAGAGCTCCAGCATGGACCGAACGGGAGGTATGGGATCTGATCGCTGTTTGGGGAGAGGAATCCGTGCTATCAGAACTCCGTTCCAGTTTTCGAAATGCCAAAACCTTTGTCAAAATCTCCCAGGGCATGAAGGACAGAGGCCATAACAGGGACCCGAAGCAGTGCTGCATGAAACTGAAGGAGCTGAGGCAAGCCTACCAGAAAACCAGAGAGGCGAACGGCCGCTCCGGGTCAGAGCCCCAAACATGCCGCTTCTATGATGAGCTGCATGCCATTTTAGGGGGTTCAGCCACCACTACCCCAGCCATGTTGTTTAACTCCTTCAATGGAGATGGAGGCAATACGGAAGCAGGTTTTGGGGACGAAGAAGATGATGATGAGGAGGAGGTTGTAGATAGCTCACAGCAAGCAAGCGGAGAAACCGGTTTTCCCGACAGCCAGGAACTGTTTCTCACCCTGGACCTGGAGCCAGTACCCCCCGAACCCACCCAAGGCTGCCTCCTGGACCCAGCAGGCGGAGAAGGGACCTCTGGTGAGTGTACCTTTTTAAAATACTGTACATGGTTTAAAAGCAAGCATGTGAAAGGATTACTTTGCCCTGGCATTCGCGGTTCTCCTAGATGTAGTCCTAAAGCCTTTGCAAAAGGTTCCTGGGGAGGGCAGCCTTATTGCGTCCTTCATGGTAGGACACTTTACCACTCCAGGCCAGTAACACTTACTCGGGAATCATTGTAGAACAAAGCATTGCAGTGTATGTTTGCTGGCATTCAAACAACATCCGTTCTTTATCTCTCTGTGTTATCCTCAGGAGAGTGAGATATAATTCATGGTCACCTGGTTGAAATAGAGTGCTTTTCTTCAGGGGACACTCAGAGGAGCCCATTCCTGCTGGGCTGTTTGCCTGTGGCTAAACAGAAATGTTCCCCGCTGTTAGCCACAGGGAGGGGGGAAGGTTGAGGGGGTAGTCACGCGGTGGGGGGAGGCAAAATAGGACCTTGTAACGAAAGCACATGTGCTATGTATGTAATGTTAACAGCAAGGTTTACCCTGAAAGAGTGTAGTCACTGTTTTATAAAATGTGTCTTTTTAAAAACCGCTGTCCCTTTTTTTTTCTCCACCAGCTGCATGTGTTTCAATGATCACAGGATCTTCTCCTTCCCAGAGGCTAGTGAAGCTTAGAAAGAAAAAAAAACGCACTCGCGATGAAATGTTCTCCGAGCTCATGCTGTCCTCCCACACTGACAGAGCACAGACGAATGCATGGAGGCAAATAATGTCAGAGTGCAGGAAAGCACAAAATGACCGGGAGGAGAGGTGGCGGGCTGAAGAGAGTAAGTGGCAGGCTGAAGAGAGTAAGTGGCAGGCTGAAGACAGGGCTGAAGCTCAAATGTGGCGGCAGCGTGATGAGAGGAGGCAGGATTCAATGCTGAGGCTGCTGCAGGACCAAACCAGTATGCTCCAGTGTATGGTTGAGCTGCAGCAAAGGCAGCTGGAGCACAGACTGCCACTGTAGCCCCTCTGTAACCAACCGCCCTCCTCCCCAAGTTCCATAGCCTCCACACGCAGACGCCCAAGAACGCGGTGGGGGGGCCTCCGGCCAACCAGCCACTCCACCACAGAGGATTGCCCCAAAAAAAGAAGGCTGTCATTCAATAAATTTTAAAGTTGTAAACTTTTAAAGTGCTGTGCTTAAAGTGCTGTGTGGCATTTTCCTTCCCTCCTCCACCACCCCTCCTGGGCTACCTTGGTAGTCATCCCCCTATTTGTGTGATGAATGAATAAAGAATGCATGAATGTGAAGCAACAATGACTTTATTGCCTCTGCAAGCGGTGATTGAAGGGAGGAGGGGCGGGTGGTTATGTTACAGGGAAGCAGAGTGAACCAAGGGGCGGGGGGTTTCATCAAGGAGAAACAAACAGAACTTTCACACCGTAGCCTGGCCAGTCATGAAACTGGTTTTCAAAGCTTCTCTGATGCGTACCGCGCCCTCCTGTGCTCTTCTAACCGCCCTGGTGTCTGGCTGCGCGTAACCAGCAGCCAGGCGATTTGCCTCAACCTCCCACCCCACCATAAACGTCTCCCCCTTACTCTCACAGATATTGTGGAGCACACAGCAAGCAGTAATAACAGTGGGAATATTGGTTTCGCTGAGGTCTAAGCGAGTCAGTAAACTGCGCCAGCGCGCCTTTAAACATCCAAATGCACATTTTACCACCATTCTGCACTTGCTCAGCCTGTAGTTGAACAGCTCCTGACTACTGTCCAGGCTGCCTGTGTACGGCTTCATGAGCCATGGCATTAAGGGGTAGGCTGGGTCCCCAAGGATACATATAGGCATTTCAACATCCCCAACAGTTATTTTCTGGTCTGGGAATAAAATCCCTTCCTGCAGCTTTTGAAACAGACCAGAGTTCCTGAAGATGCGAGCATCATGCACCTTTCCCGGCCATCCCACGTTGATGTTGGTGAAACGTCCCTTGTGATCCACCAGAGCTTGCAGCACTATCGAAAAGTACCCCTTGCGGTTTATGTACTCGGCGGCTTGGTGCTCCGGTGCCAAGATAGGGATATGGGTTCCGTCTATGGCCCCACCACAGTTAGGGAATCCCATTACAGCAAAGCCATCCACTATGACCTGCACATTTCCCAGGGTCGCTACCCTTGATATCAGCAGATCTTTGATTGCGTGGGCTACTTGCATCACAGCAGCCCCCACAGTAGATTTGCCCACTCCAAATTGATTCCCAACTGACCGGTAGCTGTCTGGCGTTGCAAGCTTCCACAGGGCTATCGCCACTCGCTTCTAAACCTTGAGGGCTGCTCTCATCTTGGTATTCATGCGCCTCAGGGCAGGGGAAAGCAAGTCACAAAGTTCCATGAAAGTGCCCTTACGCATGCGAAAGTTTCGCAGCCACTGGGAATCGTCCCAGACCTGCAACACTATGCGGTCCCACCAGTCTGTGCTTGTTTCCCGAGCCCAGAATCAGCGTTCCACAGCATGAACCTGCCGCATTAGCACCATGATGCATGCATTGGCAGGGCCTATGCTTTCAGAGAAATCTGTGTCCATGTCCTGATCACTCACGTGACCGCGCTGACGTCGCCTCCTCGCCCGGTATCGCTTTGCCAGGTTCTGGTGCTGCATATACTGCTGGATAATGCGTGTGGTGTTTAATGTGCTCCTAATTGCCAAAGTGAGCTGAGCGGCCTCCATGCTTGCCTTGGTATGGTGTCCGCACAGAAAAAAGGCGCGGAACGATTGTCTGCCGTTGCTCTGACGGAGGGAGGGGCGACTGACGACACGGCTTACAGGGTTGGCTTCAGGGAGCTAAAATCAACAAAGGGGGTGTCTTTACATCAAGGAGTATTTCAGGCAGGACTTCACGGAGGGTTCCAATAAGAAATGGTGCACCTAAGTTATCGTTCTTATTGGAACAAGGAGGTTAGCCTGGCCTCTGATTGATACATAGCTAGATTTACCTCGCTGCACCTTCTCTGTGAGTGACTGCAGTGTGACCTAGAGGAATGAGTCCCCTAGATAGGGGAGGAGGCAAATGAGTACAAAACAAATCTGGTCTATTTCTTGTTTTGACCCACTCCATCTATCTTTTACATCTTTGGCTGGCAGCAGACGGTGCAGAAGGACTGCATGCCATCCACATCTCATGGCTGCTCGGCAGAAGATGGTACAGTACGACTGCTAGCCATCCTCATCTCTTGCCTGCCTGGCAGAAGATGGTACAATACGACTACTAGCAATCCTCATCTCTTGCCTGCCTGGCAGAAGATGGTACAGTACGACTGCTAGCAGTCCGTATCGCCTGCCCGCTCACCATAAGACGGTTCAATAGGACTGACTGCAGGACTAAAGAGAATGACCTGGTCAAGTCACTCCAAATTTAGTCCCTGCGCCCATGTCTGTCCAGGCGCTCCCAGCCGACGTGGCCAGGAGCACCTCGGACACGACGAGGACGACTACCAGTCGTATTGCACCGTCTGCTGCCAGAAGGCAATGGGTTGCTGCTACTGTGTAGCAAAGCCGTACCGCATCTGCCAGCACCCAGGAGACATAGGGTGACGGTTACCTGAGCGGGCTCCATGCTTGCCGTGGTATGGCGTCTGCACAGGTAACTCAGGAAAAAAGGCACGAAACGATTGTCTGCCCTTGCTTTCACAGAGGGAGGGAGGGAACGGGGGCCTGACGATACGTACCCAGAACCACCCGCGACAATGTTTTAGCCCCATCAGAGTGCTCCATTATGACTGCTCTGGACAGCACTCTCAGATGCCCGATTGTTTGCCGTTGCTCTGATGCAGGGAGGGGCGACTGAGGACACGGCTTACAGGGTTGGCTTCAGGGAGCTAAAATCAACAAAGGGGGTGTCTTTGCATCAAGGAGTATTTCAGGCAGGACTTCACGGAGGGTTCCAATAGGAAATGGTGCACCTAAGTTATCGTTCTTATTGGAACAGGAAGGTTAGCCTGGCCTCTGATTGATACATGGCTAGATTTATCTCGCTGCACCTTCTCTGTGAGTGACTGCAGTGTGACCTAGAAGAATGAGTCCCCTAGACGGGGGAGGAGGGGAAGCAAATGAATACAGAACAAATCTGGTCTATTTCTTGTTTTGATCCACTCCATCTATCTTTTACATCTTTGGCTGGCAGCAGACGGTGCAGAAGAACTGCATGCCATCCACATCTCATGGCTGCTCGGCAGAAGATGGTACAGTACGACTGCTAGCCATCCTCATCTCTTGCCTGCCTGGCAGAAGATGGTACAATACGACTGCTAGCAATCCTCATCTCCTGCCTGCCTGGCAGAAGATGGTACAGTACGTCTGCTAGCAGTCCGTATCGCCTGCCCGCTCACCATAAGACGGTTCAATAGGACTGACTGCAGGACTAAAGAGAATGACCTGGTCAAGTCACTCCAAATTTAGTCCCTGCGCCCATGTCTGTCCAGGCGCTCCCAGCCGACGTGGCCAGGAGCACCTCGGACATGACGATGACGGCTACCAGTCGTACTGCACCATCTGCTGTCACAAGGCAAGGGGTTGCTGCTACTGTGTAGCAATGCCGTACCGCGTCTGCCAGCACCCAGGAGTCATAGGGTGACGGTTACCTGAGCGGGCTCCATGCTTGCCGTGGTATGGCGTCTGCACAGGTAACTCAGGAAAAAAGGCAAGAAACGATTGTCTGCCCTTGCTTTCACGGAGGGAGGGAGGGAACGGGGGCCTGACGATATGTACCCAGAACCACCCGCGACAATGTTTTAGCCCCATCAGGCATTGGGATCTCAACCCAGAATTCCAATGGGCAGCGGAGACTGCGGGAACTGTGGGATAGCTACCTACAGTGCAACGCTCCGGAAGTTGACTCTAGCCTCGGTACTGTGGAAGCGCTCCGCTGAGTTAATGCACTTAATGCACTTAGAGCATTTTCTGTGGGGACACATACACTCGAATATATAAAACCGATTTCTAAAAAACCGACTTCTATAAATTCGACCTTATTCCGTAGTGTAGACATACCCTTAGAGACTAACAATAGGTGCCAATTCAATAGAAGTAATGTATCTTGTAGGATAAATGATGCTGGTCAGTTAACCTAGCATGTCCTAAGTGAGTCAGCTTAGGAGACAGCTTGGTAACTTTCCAGCAGTAGCTGGATTCTCCCAGAAATTCTGGATGACATGGTCCAGAGTACAAATCTGAGAGAATCATGCTGTGACCTCTAGGGACTTAACTAAACATTGTATAGTACTGAAGTTGCCTTTACAAAGCTTTTCTGTTATGGTGCCAGATGTTTCCTGAGAGGAACAGGTCAGGTCCCCACTTTAAAAAAAAACCCATGAGAATAATCATGAATGGGGATGGAGGAACAAAGGCAGTAGGGGGCAGTCACAGAGAACCTCAAAATTCTCTCTGGCCAGCCTGTTAATCAACTTGGCTAAGTAACCTAAAACCTTTGGCCAACTGACTTTATTGCAAACACTCCAGCCTCATAAAGAAGGCTAGAGTAACCCTAGGCCAACACTCCCTCCCCACAGCAATCTGTATAGTGAGTTTCACTGTTCTAAAATGTCAAATACCCCAATCTCCCAATATAGCCAAATGCCACCTCTCCCCTGTTGCAAATTTCCCCTCCAAGAACTATGCTGCAAACCCTCAAAGTGGCTAGCCTCAATAAATAATATAATTTACTCAACCACCATATCAGGTACAAAAAGGGAAAGCGCTGTATATTATTAAGCACACAAGAATTAACACGAGGCCCTCAAATAGCTATTAAAACTGACCAAACCAACTCATCCCGTCTCTCCCTCATGTGGGTGGGAGGCGGGCAGGGAGAAGAGGGGAGGGAAAATAGCTTCCACATCCTCTTAACCCTCCTTCAACAAGATGGGCAAGCAACCAGATGTCTCAGTGCAAAGTCAGACCAAGGTTGTCCAAGAGCATTCCGGCATGCATCACACAATAATGAAGCTGAGGACAGATGGAATGGATAACAGATAGGGATAAATATATTTATACCGAACTTATGCTAGTGGCATCATTTTATTATTACTACTTGCATTACAGTAATTTCCTGTGGACCCAATTGAAATTGAGGCCCCATTGCAGTGGGCACACTACA